TAAAATAGAAAACCTTTATTAGAAATGGAACTAGACTAGAATTAACTAAAAAGAAGCTAAAGAATTCGAGAATAATATTAAAGGCATTACTAAAAGTAAATAAAAGAAGTTTAATAAAATTAAAACTATAGTAAATAGTCTAAAAACTAAGAATTAGAATAAAATCATATTATATAATAAAGCCTTTAGCTAATATATTAATAATATCTATAATAATCTTAATAAAAATATTTATAAGAAGTTATATTTTCTTTTTAAGATAAAAGCTTTAGTATATAAGGCTATTTAATTAATTAATAAAGCTACTTTGAAATATATTAAGAATAAGAAATATTAAAATACTAATATATTTACTAAATTAAATATTATTAAGGTATTTAAGTATATTAAAGCTATTTTAGAACCTAAAGAATTGGGTTTTAAGCTACTATTAGCTAATAATCTTAAGGCTAGATAATATACCTTTAATACTTCCGGAATTCTTATTAAAAAATATTATAATAATAAATCTTTTTTAGTCTTTTATAATAAGCCTAAAGAATAAGCTCTTATTATAATCTCAGCTATAATTTAATTAGATCTAGCTAGTAAAACTAGAACTAATTTAATAAAACCTACTAATAATACTATTAGTAAGACTAGTAGAACTAGTATAGCTAATTAAGAACCTAGTAAAAAGAGAAATTAAACTAAGCCTAAAACTTCTATTAAATAATAAAGATCTGGATACTAGTTTAAGTATAAAATTAGTAAGATATTAAAAAATAAAGTAAAGGAAAACAAAAAAGAGATATTATTTAAAAAGACTTTAAAAAGCATGCCTAGAACTAAGAAAAAAAAACTAATAATATTTACGAAATACTTAAATACTATACTTATAAGATATTAGCTAAATAAAAGCTAATATTTAGTTATTAAGATAATTATATCTTTAAAAAGTTATATAATAGTATTTTGGGATTTATTTATAAGCGAGAATATTATAGAATTACTAATAAATTCCTTAAAGCTTCTTATAAAGCATATCTTTAGTAATTTATTAATACTTTCTTTATTAATATAATAAATATTAAGCTTATAGATATCTTAAAAGTAATTATTAAGATTTACGAAATTACTAAGAATAAGAAATATATTTCTATTACTTAAATATAGAGATTATAAATTATAAATACAAGTATTAGATTTCTAATTAATTTCGCTTAAATCTATAGCTTTAATTTAATATTATAGCTCTTATTACTAAGTCTAGTACTTCTAATTTAAATAAATAGTTATATTTATAAAAAAGATTATTTAAAATAGACTAAAAAGCTTAATACCCGAAAGCTTTTAATAAATGAAATAAAGATACTATAACTTTATCTTTAAAAAAATAATATATTAAAGTAAATAGTTATATTTATAAAAAAGATTACTTAAAATAGACTAAGAAGCTTAATATTTAAAAGCTCTTAATAAAGGAAATAAAGATACTATAATTTTATCTTTAAAAAAATAATATATTAAAATCTAGAAATCTAGGTAATAGTTATTTTATTTTAGTCTCTTAATTCCTAATAGCGAATTCCTTAATATAGCTTGGATTTTATAAGGTATTAGCTAAGTATCCTATTTATCTAATTACTTATCCTTAATTAATTTAATATTATATTCCTGAAAATATTAATTATTATTAATATAAAGGTAATACTAATAATCTAACTATTACTAAAGCTCTAAATAATAAGTTCTTTCTTAATAAGGAAAATCGAAATATTAGCTATATTTTCTTTATAAATTATAAAAAGGCAGCTTCTTTTAGTAAAAAAGTTCTTAAGAATATTAATTACTTCTCTATTTATAATAATTTTGATTTGAAAGATATTAAAAAATTAAGTATATATTTAGTAAAGGAAATAAGAGGAAGTATTTAAGTATAATTTACTTAGCTAAATAAATAAATATCTTTAGCTAGATAATTTATAAGTCTGGAATTATAATTAAGTAATAATTTTTAAATAAAATAGTAATTAAAAAATAGCTTAATAATAATTTATTATTTAAAAAGCATTTTACTATAATCTTAATAAATCTAGTTATTATTTAGAATAGAATATATAGAAATAGAGTCTCTTATAAAATTATTAAAGCTTTTTACTAAAAGCTTTTTTCTCTTACTAAAGACAAATTTAAGAATATTATAAATAATACGAAATTCAAAGAAGCTATTTATTTAAAATATATTAGTATAATTTATAATATGGTTTATTATAATAAGCCACCCTAATACCTAGCTATAAAGGCTGAGATTAACTAATAATTAAACGCAAATACTAAGTAATAAGGAGAATTGTATTATATTTAGTATAAGAATGTAATTAAGCGGGTTTAGATTACCTTTAAGTAAGTTTGGAAGTATGAAATAAGATTATTTGAGGGTAATAAATTATATTTTAGATATATTAAGGAGAAATTAGAATTATTAATAGAAGAAGATCCTAATTATTTCGTTATTTTATATTCTAAATAGGGATTTTCTATTAGTTTTTGGTACTTAGGGAACAAGTACAAATGAATAGGGGGTCGGATGTAGTATAGCAAGCCGTACTCTATTAAAATTGCTTTATTTTAATAGTTTTAAGGTTTTAGTTATATAATAAAGGCTAGGGCCTTTTATATGTGACTTGCGGGAATTATATAAGAAAGCTGGCTTTTCTGTAGTTCTAGAGAATAATCCCTTCTTTATATTTAATTAATTAAGCTTTTACATATCGTATACCATTTATGCTTTACTATTTATGCCTTTATTCCTATTATTTTACTATTAAGTTACGTTTTGTACTCTGGTATACTTTATGTGGGTTTTTGTCTTATTACAGTTTCCCTCCCACACTATTTAGTATTAGCCTAGTTCCGAAATTACTGGAATCCAAGAGATAAAGTTTTCGGTATATTGGGGGTATATAATAGTAAGGGTATTGGGGAATTTAAGGTTAATTATTCGAAATCTTTCAAGTATATATCCAGAGATACGGTTCGATATTTAACTTAAAGGAACCAAAATCTGGATGTTTTATTAGCATGCAAATACTTTAATAAGGACGAAATCATTATTGGGCATTTTCGGGGAGAGTTTGAATGGCTTAGGAACGAGTCTGTATTGGGACAAAATAAGTTCGACCAGGCCCGTGCATTGTTCTCCCGCAGGAAAGAGTGGCTACTGGGAATTGAAGCCCAGCTTTATCCTCATGGGTATATTCCGTCTCTGGACAAGTTAGAGGTTAAGGTGCACAAGACGTGGCAATCGGCTTCAACGAGTCAGTATATAATCTCGAGAACATGAACTGGAGCTTACTATTCGCCACATTTCCAGACAAGCTGTCGGCTTCTATATGAGATATGATCACCTTGTCTTTCTATATCATATCGGTCTTATTCGTGGCATTTCCATCCTTCAATCGACATACGATACGATAGAAATCATGTATAATATCTTTATCGACGTACATTATTTCACCCTAATTCTAACCAGGAAGTGCTAGCAAGGAATCTCCACTATGCTTGCCTTCTTTATTATCCAAAAGACTTGATGTCTGACCATTGTTTTTCCATCAATCTGATCTTTGTAGGTTTCTTGACCAACATGCAGTGGGTTGTTCTAATCATATGGCACATCACACATAATGCCGTAAGATGCCGGGAATATCCGGCCAACCAAAATATTCTTTCTCGTCTTGATGTTCTGCATTCGATCAATGATGAGGCCTCTGCAGACAGCTAATTGGCTGTTGAGTTTCATCGTTAACACTTCAACTACCAATCCGATATCTATACTTACGGCTCAGCAGACACTAGAATCTCGGGATTTGGTGCATGGAGATGCGTGTACCGTACAAATTCTTGGTAGAGTCGGGAAAAAAGGTATGATGAACTCCCAAGGCCACCTGAGAGAATGAGATATTTCTGAAAAGATTAGTTCCGGATACCACAAGAAGATTCACGTGCTGGAAAGTAGAGAAGGTCTAGACGCCTAGATACGATTGCAGTGTTTCGGGTGGGGGAAATGGGAGAAGCCAGAAAAGCGAGGAGAAGGAGGATTTTAAAGAATAGGAGACGCGACAGAGGACGTTGCCCTTCGCGTCCTCATCTGCGATAGCGCGATAAGCTTGCTCTGCCGTCCTTCAGGGGGAAGCGAGCCCCACGCGAGGTCCGCACCCTTTTTCTTCCTTCAGTTATTGACTTACAAATTGAAACCTCTCTTTCATATCGCCCGAATCCATTTATCATGAAGTATCTCTTGGTCTAATTACTATGAAATGTTCTGCATGGGCTATCTTATATTCCATCGACTGCAGAGTACTGCAAAAGCTTCTATGAAGAAGATCGTCAACACTTGACATCGCGTCCTAACTTGCAGCTTCACACCTGACACACAATACTCCGGGGCAAAAGCCCCTTGCATATGTGCTCTTAACACTTTCAAGTATAGCAGCAGAAGTGTGAACAGAATTTAGCCCTCCGAACTCGGCAACCTCCAGCCACCACGAATCTCCTTTCTCACCGGCTATGGAGGTGTATATCTCAATAGCCACTTAATTATGTTGCCCTGCCACTATGATTTCTGGCATGTGAGGATGGTTGCCTGAATTTCAGCTCAGGTGCTGAGGGTAGGCGAACACCACGACGTATCATTTACACGATGCTTTGGTACTGGCTGCCCCACGTGTGCGCTGCCCAATGCGATGCATGATTCAACAGTGGCGCTCAGCCCCCCCGAAACTGGTAGCTTACAAGCCACCACTAACGTGGAGCAAACGGAATCTTCATAGCCCAATCAGTCGGGCACTGTCGCAGCCACTACCCGATCGTCTTGACACGTCCGCGGGGGCCCGAATCTTCGGTGTTGGCTCAGGCACTGATGTGTTGGAGCATTTTCCCTGTCGCCCTGATATTCACGGCAGCCTTTGCTGTCAGTTCGCTTCATTTCTTCCGACCTACGTCCAACCAAACCCTCCTCAGCTAATGCAAGATCCATCGACATAATTGGGCGAACTTGGAAATTTATTCGAAAACCTTGAAATCGCTAAATCCAGCCTCGTTCTTCAAGACTTCTTCAGGCAACAAGCGCTCTGTATTCTTGTGGGTTCAAGTGATAATTGCCTGATCATTCTTTGTTGAGTCGTTCCCAAGTTCCCAGCCTACATTAATGTCAGAGCCTCAGAGGCGTCTGCCAACGCACAATATCGATCCAACAATACCACAAAAGAGTTTGCCTTTTGCCCTACAAGGCTACGTGTCTGTTAAGCCTCATCCTCACTCAAATAGAACGAAAAAGAAAGGATGCCATGAGACCAGACAACCCACCGATGTCGCTACAATGTCGCAAATTTAATGTTTGAGACACCCAGGCAGCCCGAAGCCATGCTCCAGTAGCTTTTGCTTCTTGTTAACCAACTACCTCCCACAGTACAGCCATGGCGGACTCTTCTAGAGATTCCACTACTACTCTCCATGAAGAGCCCGAGGGGATTGCGCTCGATAGCGTATTCAGATCTGCATCCACAATTCCAGGCTATAATCTCGTGGATCCGAGAGTGCAATCTTCCAGTACGACTCAGGCCATGTGCTTGGACATAAACAACCCGGAAAAAACGAATGAGACCCTAGATGAATCTAGCCTGCTGCAAAAACTAGAGACCATTGTGAGTTTTCACTGTCGCCTTCTCTGGAGTTTCTGCTCACTCGAGGTCGTAGGACTTCACTCTGGCAACAGCTCCCGCTGAAAAGCCTCAATTCTTCCTGATGTTAGCCCTCTTATTGGGATAAAACTTCAAATCACTTTTGAATTCAAGGAAGCATTTGCTTACCAGTTCGGTGACCAGAACATCGATGGGAGATCCCTCTGTCGAATGCAACTTTCTCGAGATTTCTCCCAATTCTCTTGAAAAACTCTATCATACACTCCGATTCCGCAATGACTACAGCTCATTCTATACTACTCGACTTTTCCATTGTTCCTATCATTCTCACTATGATATAGACGCCGATCCAAGTGGGCCTCCCACATCCATTAGTAAGTCCGCTTCTCTTTTAATAAACAGATTATCTCCGTTTACACGTTCTCTCTTCTAGTTATCGTTTTTCGATGTCCACGAAATAGCCGATGTATTTCTTGCATCATGCGAGTCCAGCTTGCCGATCGCAGCTCCGTAATATTCCTCTGTGGACCAAATCCCCACGACTTGGACGAGATGCGAACTCTGTGCATTCAGAAATCGGACCTCCTAAGAGTACACCCATTGTATTTTCTTACATTGATCAGCGATCAGAGATATCCACTTTGGGCTAGTTCATTCGCGGGCCTCTGGCTAGAGGTGGTAGTGGCCGAAACAGCAACAGGAATGAACCGGCCAGATTGGATGACCACGGTTCTGAAGCAACAGATCCCAGATCGAATTCAGGCCTTATCAGACACTGACATTCTCCTGTACCAACTTCATGCAACGAACACAGAACTATGTCAATGTGATACCGTCATGTCCTTTGCAGTAAAATATGGCAATTTCTGTCTACAGGCTTTTGACGTCGTGGAAAGCTCTAGAGAACGCAGAGGACATCTTCCATTGCCAGTTAGATACAAGTCGGATTTGAAAGACAAAATAGGGTTTTATATTGAGATGTATGAGGGGGTAAGGAGTAAGCTTTCAGAAGTGAAAGAGAGAATTCGAGGACAAATAAATGTGGTAAGTACCTCCCTCCGCTTCAACCCGATTGAGAGACGACGAAAGTGTACTAAAATATTATTAGTCTATCAGTCTCATCGCTCAGAGAGACAGTAAGACCAATCTCGAGAATAGCAGAAGTATGAAGACTATTGCAGTAATGACACTAGCCTTTCTCCCACTAACGCTCGTGAATGTAAGTGGTATTTCGAAGTATAGTAGAGAGCGTCCAAACTCACAACTCTTTAGTCAATATGGTCGGCAAATCTTTTCCATCTTGATAACGCAACAAACTGGAAGCTGTTTGTCGGATTGTCAGTTGCTCTCACCATCATCGTCTTCTCCTGTTGGTGGCTATACATATACATTTCTAGAAGACGCCGGGATGCAAGGTTACCTCGACTCGTGAAGGATCTCGAGTTCGAATTGTCTGACGTCGGCAGCGTGCAAAATCTTGTTTGAACTATTAGTCTAATGCTTAGATTTTATCTATAAACCCTCCTTTTCATGTCTCAATTTGTAATTCTTAAGCTCCTTACGAGGCAGTAATTAAGAGAAGCGAGATTACTACTTAATAGATCTTTAACCTTTTATTTAATACTTAAGTCTATTCTTTATTAACTATATAATAGTAATCTTAGTCGTAGTGTTTATTCCCTTAGGTTTAGCGCCTGCCGCGTTAGGTAAGGCGTATATACAAGCCGGCTGCCGCTTTTAACGTTTATAAAAGATGCGTTCTCCTTACTACTTAACTATCTTCCTCTTTAATCTTTTCCTAACTCTTTCCTCGCTCTGTTTATATACTCTTGAAACTAACCTTAGTATACGCGTTGAGAGGACCTAGGCGATTAGAGATCTTGATATAAAGAAGGCGGCCAAGAAAACCTACGGATCCCGTATAAGAGGCGTGGTAATTTAGTCTTCCCCTTATATACTTTACTCCTATCTTCTATAAAGATATACTCCGGCCCAACCGTGTCAAATGACAGGAAGACCACGTGCTCTAAGTCTTGTTCTAAATATGCCTTAGAATACATTCCTTTCCGGTCGGGAAGCTTCTCAAGGAATATGAGCGATGACTTATAATTCCAGCCTATTACCCCCTAGATCATTACCGTGAACCGTCCCGACCTATATACCGACCGTATATACGTAGAATACTTCTTTTCGTTTATCCGGCGTGTGACTCACGTCCGTCCTTCCCTTCCTGTCTCCCATGTGCATTCGTCTGAGAATGTGACTTTCCCTCTAGTCCCCTCCTCCTTCCCTTATAGCTACGTAGTCGGAAGATCCCGATCACTGGTGGACGCGTGCAAAAGGCAGTCTCTTCTTTGCTTGCTCGCGCGAGATAAAGGGCCGAGGACACGAAATATAACGTCGGTAGCTAAGCTTACGTAGTTCTTGTCATATAATACTGTAATGGGGATTTGATTATTATATGGTTTTCGGACCATATATAGGCGTTTGGATGCGTGGAAGAGGGTAAAGGGGAAGTAATAAACTAAGCACTCAAAAGTGATACTTTCAATAGTAGTAAGAAGTAAAGCAAAGGTCAAAAATAAGGGGCTCCAAAGTGTGATGTATTGGGAAGGCTAATCGTACGTATGGGCGGAAGTCTTATATAACCCTTAAACTAGCTCTAGCATGCCTGGGAAGCAGGACACGTGACGGTAGTTACGGGACAAGAGAGAAAAACCCCCATTATATAGCTTTTCCCCATTATTCGTAATTATTCCCTAATTATAGCAAAGAAAATACCAAGCTTATACGAGTATAAAACCCATTAGAACCTAGAAACTTAAATAGTTTTCAAAGGAACCCGTAGCCCATATTCTCAAGACTTTTCTTGCTCTTTTTTGTTACGGTTATTACGATACGCGATACTAGTAGGGGTTAGACTAGAACTAGCTGGGCATACGAAGTTGAGTTGGGAGGCATAAGTCGAGGTTACAAGTTACGAGCTTAAGCTAGCATGTGGGCCCGTATATAGCTTGCGATTATTTAGATCCGAGACTCCTTCGAGATCCTCTTCTCTTCTTTAGCTTTGAATTATCGGAATAAAGACAGTCTAACCTTGCCTTCCAGGCCCTAGATCTTGTACTCGTAACATAATTTAAAGCTCTCCCACTTCTCAATCCTGCGGAGGATTTAAATAATATCCACCCGATTAGTTTTCGACGGGTGCAAATGCGATATGCCGTGGCTACTCCCGTACCGGTTAACCAATATCAGAACGAAAGAAAGCCCTAGAACGACTAGGCAAGAAAGCCCTGGACCGGCCAAGCAAGCAAATAAGCCAGTAACCTTACTACTAAAGAAGACATAAGGAAGTAAGTTCCGGAGTAACTGGGCAAGTCAGAAGGAGCTATAATACGATACGCTACTAGTATATTACCAGAAAGTAAACCAGAGCCTCTTATTAAGTCTCCTGAGGGATCCGAGTATCCCGTTAATATTTATAGTAAAAGAAATACTCTCTTTTAGAGAATAGAAGAAGAAAAGGAACCTGCTTTATTAAAGGCAAAGGTCCAAGAATTACTTTAGAACTCAGAGGCTTTATATAAAGAGATTATTAAGCTAATTCTAAAGATATATAATATTCTTGCCTATAGCGAGAATTATTATAATTAGTTAAAAGAAACCAAGCAAGTCTTATTAAAGAATAAAGCTATTATTAAAAAGTTTATTATATAGCTTATTAAGATAACTAGTTCTTTTACTTTAGAAAATAAATACTTGATTAAATTCTCTAATTCTTTTATTTTTAAAGATATAATTAAGAATAATATTACTTTTAATAATTAATTAGTTTAGATTAAAAATAAGCTTTATAGTAATTCTAATATTTATTAAATAAAGAATCTCAAGATTATTTATATATCCGGCTATATAAATAGCTATATTCTTATATTAATTTTCTTTTACCTAAATTAGAATAATTAATATATATAAGATTATTAGAGAATTATATATTTATTTAAAGAAGCTAATAGTAATTCAAATAAGAAATATAATATTTAATAAGTATTTAAGGAACTATTTATAAAAAAGAGCTAAACTTTTTAGAAGTTCTATATTTTATTTCTAAGATATATAATAAATAGAAATATTAACTTATAAGACCTTAAGAATAACTTAAATAATAAGCTTACCTAAAAGCTCTAAAAGGCTATAGCTATATATTATAATAACTCGGTTATTTATATTATAAAGTTTATATAATATTATATTATAAATAATTAATAAATCTAAGCTTATTATAAAAAGAAAAATTAAATATTTAAGAAAGTTAATAAAAATATAAATAAGCCAAGCTTAAGAAGTATTCTTTATATAAAGCTTGCTTTTAGGACTTTAGTAATAAGTAAGCTAGTTACCCTAAAAGCCCGAATTCTCTAATTTCAAGTATTATAATTATAATAAATTTAATTATATATTTAGGAATTATTTAAAGCTTAAAATAAAATATATAAAGCAAATTTTAGTAATTAAGCTAGTAATTCTTACTATAAATAAGGAAATAATAATTCCTAAAGAAAGTTTTCTTTTTAGAGCCATATTATATTAATATAATAAAAATTAATTTAAGCTAGCTATTTAAAAATAATATATTTATATTTCCTTATAAAGTTAGTAATAATAGATTAGGTATTAAGACTTCTTTTTTTTTATTAATACTAGAGTAATAAATATACTTTTATTAATTTCAAGTTTATAAGAATAATTAAATAAATTCTAGATATTAAGTTTATTTATTTAATATTATTCTATAATATAAGAGAATTTAATAATAAGTAAGCTATATTTATTATTTATTATATTAAGCTAATACTTTTAATTAATAAATAAAAAGTTCTAATATTTATATTAGTTATAGAACTAAATAAATATAATATAATTTTGGGATAATAATAATTTATAAATACTAGTATTCTAATTAATTATAAAAATAGAAAGTTAATTTAATTAAATAATTAGCTTAGAAAAAAGAATTAAAATAAGGTTCTAATTATTATTTATAATAACTAATACTAAGAAAATATAAATTAAATAAATAAATCTATAGCTATAAATAAGTTCTAAAGACTTTAGATTATAAAAAGGAAACCCTCTAATTCTCTTTATAAGCCCGGTTTAGAAAGCCATATATAATAAAAGAATTAAGCTTAACTTTATAGAGAAATATAATTAGTCTTAAAAAATATAAAAGTTTCTTTTAAGCTAAAAATAGGAATATTAAAGTTATATTATTTAAAGAAAAGCCATAAGAGCTAGTTAAGACCTATAATTAATATTATAGAAATCTTACTAATTACTTTTTAGATAAATTTATAAAAAAAAGAAAAATCTTTTCTTTGTAATATTATTTTTCGAAATTAATAAAAAGCTAGAATTATAATAAGAAAATAAGTTTATTTCAAGTAAATAATAACTAAAAGAAATAGAATTATAATAGCTAGTAAGGGTTTTACTAAAAGAGTTTAAGAACTTTATAAATATCTTATTTTTATATTAGTTCTATAATTATAAGATTTAAATTAATAATTTCAAGAGCCCGAAAAGCCTAATATATTTCCTGCTTTATTAATAATTAATCTATAAGCTATAAGAAATTAAGTATTTCCTTAAAGGAAACCTTTAATAAAGCTTTATTAAGCCAAGTTAGTTCCTTTTTATATCTCTAATTCTCTTTATTAAAAAGGCTAATAAAGCTCTCTAATTTTATATTAATTATTATAAGTTAAATAACTTAATATAAGGGAATTATTATTCTCTTTCCTTTATTTATAAGACTCTTATATAGCTAATTTAAGCCAAGGTTTATATAAAGTTAAATATTTAATAAGTATTTTATTAGATTTAAATAAATCTAGAATTTAAAGAACTTATAATATTCTATATAAAATATAAGGCCTATAAATATAAAGTTCTTTAGAAAAGCCTAATTAATAGCCTTATTATTTACTAAAGATATATAAATAATATTCTTTTTAATTATCTTAATATCTTTTATATAGCTTATCTAAATAATATTCTAATTTATTTAAATAATTCCCTTAAATATAAAAACTATATATAAAAAGTTCTTTAGTAATTATAGAATATTAGCCTTTAAATAAATATTAAGAAATTAGAGTTTAAAGTTATTTATATAAAATACTTAGGCTTTATTATTTTTATTAAGGGTATTAAAATAGATTTAAAATAAGATAATAATTATTTAGAACTAGTAATTACTAATAGTAATTAAGGAAATATAAGGCTTTCTAGGCTTTTATAATTTTTATTAATATTTTATTACTAAATATAGCTATATAATAAAGTTCCTAATAGCTTTAATATATAAGGAAATATTATATAAGTAAATAAATTAATATTAAAAAGATTTTAATAAGCTGAAACAAGTTATATTCTTAATACTAATTCTATATTACTATAATTTAAATCTTTTTATTATAATTAAAATAAATATATTAAATAGAATTATAACTAGTAT